CTTCTTATTTTTTTTCTCCTTTTTCTCCTTTTCTCCTATAATAAAACTACTAAGTAAGAGAGAAAACTAATCTCGGCATCCCAAATAGCATATAAATTTAAGAAGTTTATTTAAATAACAGCAACAAATGTCAAGTTCTGCTATGAAGGGGTTATTCCCATCAAGGCTTTTATTGGGGAGCAAAGTGTAATTATTAGCGTTCTCTGAATTACCGGGTTAAAACAACAGGAGAAATGTAAGAAGAACAGAAACCAAATCTTAGGGGAAAGTCTGAGCTTGTCCCTTTTCGACATTTTTTTTACCGATGACAATCCGAATCATACGGCTCCATTATATGTGTAGAGAGAGGTAGTATCTTGATCTGAGAATGAGTTGATCGTTGGCAGTGACCATGGAGCAGCACTGCCATAGCCAGGCATCAGTGCAGCCATCGTTGACGGACCGGCGTTAGCGTAGAGAGTCTGAGTGATGTATTAGGGCAAGGTGGGTAAATATTGATACAGAAATAAAACGGGTGCATCTATGAAACTTACAGTCAAGAAAACCTACGAAACGGACTATTTTGAGAACAGTTTTTTTAATTATGTAACATACAACGATTTCTCAAATGGTGTAGGGCTTGTAATACTGGCAGGCTGATGTAGCAGGCTTCATTGGGCTTGGTGTGGGCACCTAATGGTACTCAGGTAAACTTACACAGGTTGCCCTGTGAAGACGTGTAAACCTCTGTGACCAAATTCGAATTACTTGACAGTTTCACGTCAGTTTTCAGGTCTGACTATCAGATAACATGATCTACCAAGAGGAATCAGCAAAAATGAAAAATGCCTCCTCTAAGGCGGACATGCATCGATGTGTAATAGTGGCATGACTTTCTTTGCCTTATTACGAGAAGAGCAACTTCACGTAATAAGGCAAAGAACCTCGAAGCATGTTTATGAGGTTGGCTGTGCCATGAAATCTGGTCACTTTCACATACTGTCACAACAATTTAATTAATCTATCTCCAATAGGGTCATTTTGTAATAGTTAGCCCCTGTGGAGCAAATGTAGTTAGGCGGCGGGCGACCACGCGCGTCATTTCTGCTTGTCTGAGCCTTCTCAACAAAAAGGGAAGTAGCGTGCATACCCATTTAAGGGCGTTAGGGAGACATTTTTTGTGATCCAGGTATTAAGAAGAAGTGGCAGGATAAGAGAAGACGAACAGCACAAGACATGACGTGGCCAATAATCGCCCTCACACTTGGCGCTCCTGAACCACCTTTACCCGCCATCATGCTTGTCAACTCTAGCGGTTCAGTCGCGCGATTTAGCAATCCAGCCTTTCGCTTCAATCCTATATGTATGTGACAGGGGTATGTGACAAGACAATCGTAGTACGCCACGCTGGTGGGCGTGGCGACTGATGTTGGGCCTCCAACAG